CTTAATCAGCTGCTTCTACGCTTCTATAAGCCATTCTAAAAAGTTTTGGAGGGCCAGGGAGATAGCTCAGCAGACTAAGCACCTGCTTAGGCAAGCACAAGGATCTGGGTCTGATCCCAGGCACCACACGCTGTGACGTCCTGCTCCCAGGCATGCTGAGCCGGCCACCAAGACCTGGCGTGGTGGCTCATGCTGTAATCCCAGCCCTGGGGAGGCTGAAAACAGGAGGATCACTACGAGTCTGATCTGTGTAGTGAGACCCTGTACTAAATACATAAAAAATAAGATAAAAAATAAAAGTATTGACTATAAAGAGCTATTTATATAGCTGTTTATCAATACCACATTAGAAATTAAAAATGCAAAATTTCAAATAACCTGTTACACATTTGCATATATTTTTAAAACTGTATTTTCAAAAACAAGTCAGAAAGAGGCACTTTTTTTTTATTCTGCAATATGCTTTATTTATTTTTGCAGCACTGGGGACTGAACTCAGGGCCTTTCCACTGAGCTAAATGCCAACCCCTTTTTGAGACAAAGTCTTGCTAAGTCACTGAATTGTCCAGGCTGGCTCAAACTTTCAATCCTTTTGCCTCGGCCTCCAAACAGTGCTGGGATGACAGGTGTACCTGCACACTGGGCTTATCTGAACTTTTTAATGCATGGCACTTTCAGTTGTGGAAGTGTGACATCTGATTATAGTAGTCAGGGATATGAATCACCATTTGTAGAACTCATTTGATCCTGAAATGGCACTTGGGGATCTGTTACTCCCAAGTCCTGCTATGGTTATCACTGACTACTGTGAAGCCTTCTACACAGGTCTGTACTGAGAATGGATTCCCACACAAATGAATTCAAACAACCTGTCCTGGAAGTCCTTTTTATAGAGCCCCTCAGGAGAGTCAAACTTGAAGCCTCAACCAAGCACCACTGCCTTGGCACAGGGAACCACGAAAATCCGGGAGAACAATTCACACTCTAAAGTTACACTGATATTTAAGAGGTGTCAAAAAAACAACTTAACCAAAAACATTTTTGACATCTTTTAATATTAAGATTGTAATAACTCTGGTTTAGCTCAAATTAAAATGAAACAATTTTGTGCTAGCATTTACAAAGGAACAGTTTCACAAGAGGTGTTCTAAGTGTGGGAATTAAATGAACAAGTATCAACAGTAATTCTAACCATAACTTTAAACTTTAAAAAAGGATAAATTAAAAACAAAAGTGCTCCTAAGCTAGTGTAGAAGCTAGGGGTAGGAAGTAAGGGGAACACATTATTTTTTGACTTTTAAAGATTTAGGAAAAACAATTTAGTTTCATATTCCATTATATTTTACAGTATCTAAAAATGAAAATAAGGGGCTGGTGAGATGGCTCAGTGGTCTAAAGCACCTACGTAGAACAAGCTTAGCAAAGCTCAGGGACCGCGGTTCAAACCCCCAGCACCACATGCCAGCCAGCCCCGCCCCCTGGTGGGCTGAGCTGGCCACACACACACACACATGCACAAATAAATAAACCTTAAAAAATAATAATAAAAATAAAAATAAAAATGAAAATAAATTTAAAAAATAAAAATGATACTGAAATTTCAAATCTGAAAATGTTTTTGAAGGCAAACTCTGCATAAACTCTAGATATTCATTTATGAAACTCTTCAAAGAATATTAGAGAGTAGATGATACAGAAGTGCAGTTACGCTCTAGAAACCCTTAACGGGACAGGGAAACACTGGTTGGGGGCCTCCTGCCAGTTGGCAGACACAGCCAACCTTCTCCATCTCTTATCCCCATCTAACCAACACTGTGGGATGTCCAGTAAAGCCAGGAAGAATGCAAACAGTAGTGAATGCAAACTGCTTATAGACTTAAAAAAAAAAAAAAAAAAAAAAGTAAAACCTTGTGAAGGAAAGATCTTCTTAGGCCATTAAAAATAAAGACTGCATTTCTGCCAGAAAAACAAGATAAAGGACAGACCAAAGTCTAAAAATGGCAGTGCTGATACAGACCTAGAATACAACACACACAAGTGATTATAACATCTGTATATAAGTGAACCAATACTAATTGTGCCAAGGAATTACAGTTCCATGAATATATTACCACATGGGCTTCAAGTGTCCACAGTTTTTAAGAAGCAATAAAACATTCATATATGATTGGTTTGTAACAAGGGAAGAAGTGACTTTTGAAATTTTTTAAATCTGTTTTTATTTGGTACAGGGTTTTGCTATGAAGCTCGGGCTCACAGTGATCCTCCCGTCTTAGCCTCCCCAGCACTGGGATTCCACGTGTGCACCACCATGCCCCGTTTCCCCAGCCAGCAGGGCAGGCATGGATTGCGGTACTGGAGATCAGACCCAGATCCTTACACTGGCCAGGCAGGCGCTTAGACTGCTGAGCTATCTCCCCAGCCCCATTTTTTTTTTTTTTTTTTTTTTTTTTTTTTTGGCGGAACCAGGGATTGAACTCAGATCCTTGCGTTAGCCAATCAAGCACTTATCCTACTGAGCCATCTCCCTGGCCCCCCCATGAACTTTTAAAATTTCAAAAATAACAACACTAGAAACATTTTCTGTGGAAGAGGAGGATGGCAACTTCTGGCTAGGAATGGAAAGCAAAAGTATAAGTAAAATCAATTAATAATACTGAAATTGATGTCTTCTTCAAACCCTTTCTCTTGCATTCTCTCTATACAAGTGCAAGTAGCAGCACTTTTCCTTTTCTAGGAAGAACAGTGTCCTAGTTAACCCCAATGGTTAGCATTACAGTAAGCAACTGTGTATGAGGTCTTCTGCTAAGTGATCTATGTATATTATCTCTGTTAATTTTCACTGTAACTAACGTATCATTCCACTTTACACAAGAGAAAAATAAATTCAAACTTGGGGCACACAACTAGCAAACTGTATAAAGTCGAGATCAAAAGCCAGGTCTGACTCTGTTCTCTGCTGATGACTAAACCAAAGTACTTTTTTTTTTGTTTTTGTTTTTGGGGTTTTTTTTTAGCTTTTTCCTCTCAAAGGTCTGAAGTTCACATGCTTTGGGGAATAAAGGGGCAGGAAAGGGGCACAGGAAGTGGTGCAGAAGTACTTTATAATTTCTCAAGATAAGGACACCTGCACTGCTTTTTTAAAACAAGAGGGGAGAATCTGCAATAATACAAAACCTCTAACTCTTTTCTGGCTCTTTTATTACTAAAATGGACAAGCTGGTCAAGCACCACCTACAGACGGTAGCAAATAAATCACTTGGGTTCAGTGGTAGGGAGGGTATTATGCAAGATTTCCCAGCACCGCCTGGCCAGGATATTTCACAGCCAAGGCACTTGGGCCCCTCCTCCCCAGCTAGACAGCCTGGCTCCTTCGCATTCCCCTCAGGAGATAGGGTGGAAGCACACAGCTCCACTTTCTAAGGCATAGAGGGCAGCTGAAAGTCCTGGTTGGCCTCTCTGGGCAACCACAGGCGCCAATAAATCGGCCACAGGCGATTCTCTCATCCCCTTCCCGGCTTGAAGTGGGAGCAAGACATAATGCAAAAGAGCACTGATTAGACTTGGAAGATAAGTGATCTAGGCTCAAATTCCTCCGCAAACGACTACATCACTCCAGTCAGGTAAATCTCTGAGTCAATTCCTACAGGCTTATAACACGAAACAGTACTACCTTCCCTTTAGTAAAAATCCAAAACTTGTCTATGAAATTAGATGCTATAGGTCCTATATTACAGGACTTGACCCGCTAAATACACTCAAATAGCAACCAAAACTGAGTAAAACCCATCTCTACTACATCCAAAAGGCATTCAGACAGGATAGGTCATGTGGGGCCCCTTCTTGTTCACTAGCCCTTGATGTTTCCCAGCCATCAGGACCAACCTATTCCACGTCCCTGATAATGGATTCATAGTTTACCCTTTACTAAATATGCAGATTGCTAAGCAAACTTTGATGCCTTAAACTAAAGTCAACCAATGACACAAGTGTTTGCTACTCTTCTCTTTTGGGAGGTGGGGCATGAAAGAGGCACGACTTTTGACTTCACTGTACATTACAGGCAGCCTCTCCCAACTAGAAACACCAATACCTCCACTATCTCAGAGCCATCACGCACTGGCGACCTCATTTCTCAATAAATTTAAGGAGTCTATTGGCTGAATCCACAATTCCAGCACGGTGGACAACAATGACCCAGGTATCCTCAGCCCTAACGTCCAGCGAAGGAGGATGGGACTTAATCAAATATTTCAATCTTTAGGCCTGGTGTCTTCACCTGTAAAATCAGATGAACTGGACTTTACAGTTTTGAGAATCCAAGAGGTATTTTACACACTTGTCAAAATCCTGTGAGAATCCACAGCTCCGCGGAAAGGACTCTCTCTCTAGAAAAAGAATGTCGTTTTAAACCCCTGGGGGTGAGGTGTGGAGATAAGGCATTAAGTTATCAGACAGGTTAGCTGCCGTCAGGTTCCCTCAGGTATGTACTGCCTACGCAATACCTGCTAGATCTTTCCAAATGCTAAGTGGTAGGGAGATGGCGATAAGATGGGGCAGACTTCAAGAAGAAGAACTGGACTTGCTTAGAAACATTTGAAAAAGAAATGAATTGTTGAGGGTGGGAGCTTCCAGCTCCACGAACTGGGAGAGGAAGGGGACAGGGGCTGCGTCCTCGAATCCCGCACCTGAAGACGGGCTGGTGTGCAGGACGGGAGGGGTCGGGGGGCTTCCGGGGCCCGCCGCCCGAGGCCCGGCGCAGGGTCGCAGCCGGGAGCGGCTCCAAGCCTGGGCGGCGCGACCCCTCGCCTCCGTCAGGCCCCAGCGCGCGCAGCAGAGCGCTGCTCCTGCCGACGCTCCCTCGCGGGTGCCATTTTTCTCCTGCTCTTCACTGGCCCAAAACGCCCCTCCCCAGCTACTTGCATCTATCCCGCGACCTGAGCCGCTGCAGCCGCCACCCCGGGTGGCCCGCGGCGGGAGGGATGGGCCGAGTCGCTTACCCAGACGCCGCCGCGGCAGCGGGCCGACTCCTCCGTGCGGGAGGGGCGGGCTCCTGGCCGCGCAAGGCACGCGGCGGCGCCAACTCACGCACCCCTCGGCCCGCTCTCGCGCGGCTTCCCGCGTCGGCCGCCGCGCGACGAGCCCACGTGACCTTGCGTCTGGTCGCTGGGGAACTGGCCGCGCTGGGGTTGTGTGTGCGTGCGCGCGTGCGTACGTGCGCGCCCGCCCGCCCGCCCGTCAGCTCCAGTGGCGGGGCGGGGGTCTGCCGGCGCTCAGGGCGCCGCAGCCGCCACGGTTCCCAGTCGTGACCGTGTGGGCGGAAGCGTGGGTACAAGCCTGAGCGTCACAGGCTCCCCACACAGCCGCGTGACCCGGGGACTTTCCCCGGGGTGTGCAAAAGCACCGGCACCCCCTCGACTGTGGGGTGGGAGCGGGGAAGGATGGGTCCGCGTGTTCGGCGGGACAGGGGTGAGGGCGCGGGGCCAGCAAGGCCGAGCCGCGGGAGCCTAGGCGGAGAGGCGGGCTGGGCGGGGTTGAGGCCTGGCGGGGGAAGTGACTCAGGGCCCGCGGCAGACTGGCCCACGAAGGCTGCAGGGGGGCGGGGAAGGGGCGACCCCGAGCGAACGACAGTGGACCGGACGGGGCAGAGGGTGCGGGCGCCCCCAAACAGCCCGGGCGAACCGCAGGGGAAGTCCATCCGCCCGGCCCTGCGGGGCAGGGGTCTGCCTTCTGGGCGGAGTGGGGGAGCGGCGTCCTGCCCCTGGGGAGTCGGGAGGAGCCGCGTCCCATCCAGCTGTGCAAACAGGAGGAGGAGGTCCCAAGCCGACCCTCGGGAGAGGGGTGGCCAGGCCGCCGCCGCCGTGCCGGCCCCCGCGGTGCGGGTCGTGCCAGCCAGCCCGGAGCCCGACGCAGAAACTTGTTGCAACAAACAGGCGACCGCGGGTGCCCCTAGCAGCCAGCGGCGGAGTGGGTGGGCGGGCGAGAGGGAGGGGAAGGCTGGCGGACGCCGCAGCGAACTGGTGGGCAGACCCGGAGTCGCCGCGTAAGCGGGGCCGGCTCAGTGCGGTGCGGCAGGCGCGGCTGTGCGGCAGCGGAAGTCCTTTGTTGCAGCGCAGTCCCTGGCAGAGCCGAGTCTCCGCGCAGCCCAGCCCGAGCGCCGCGCGCCGCCGCCACTGCAGCTCGCGGCCCCTTCGCCTCCGCCCGCCTTTCCCGCGGCCGATCTGCCTTAAACTCCCTAAAATCTCCGCAGCCCTGGTTCCCACTGCGGCCGGTGAGTATTTGCCAGTCGTGAGGCGATTTGCGCAACTTTGTCCCGGGCCGGAGGGCGGCGGGCCGCGGGCCCGGCGGAGTGCGGGGCCGGAGCGGGCCGACCCGTGCGGGGAGCCGGGGCACGGCGGACGCGCTGCGAGGACCCGGCGACGGGAGACTGCCGGGCCGCCTGCTCGTGGCCGGCGCGGCGGGACCCGGGCGTGTGGCCTCCCCGGGTGAGAGCCGAAGCCCCGGCGGAGACTAGTTCCCAAATTAGTTGCTTCTGCCTTTCTTTCTCTGCTTTTATTTTAATTTTTCCGAGGGGGGAGGGGAGCGGAGGGAGGCGGGAGGACCCGGTTGATTGACGGGCGCAGAGCCCGCTTCTCAACTTGCGGCGCGGCGGGTGGGAGGGGAAGCGTCCCGGACCCCGCGGCCGCGGACTTGGGCGCGCGCCGAGGCGGGAGGCGTCTGGGCCGTGCCGGTGCTCGCTGCGTGCCTTCCCACCCTCTCCTCGCCGCCACGCACGCTTTTTGTTCAGTAAGAAGTGGTAGGTGTGGGGCCGGGGAACTTTCAGCGGGAAGGATCTGTTCCCCGGGAGAAAGAGCGCTCGCCCCCGGCGGGGGGCGCCTACCGAAGCGGAGTCGGCGTCGCGAGTGCGGGGGACGGGGACGTGGGCGCGGGCCGCCCTGCGCCCGCAGGCTCCCTTCTGCCGGGGCGGCGCGTCAGTTCCCGCGGAAGGCTTGACGGGACGCCCTCCGAGTTGGCGCGCCCGGAAAGGCTGTGCAAAGTCCTTATTTTCTAGGGAGAGGGCATTGGTTGGTGTGCGATAATATTCCCGAATAGCCGAGCGTGGTAGGTGCACGCGGACCTTCCCCGGCCGGTGCCTTTGCACCCAGCTCTGTCACGAGGGGAAGAGTTTTCTGGCCGCCTCAAGTCAGAATCAGTTCCTGGAGCCGAGTGTCGAGGCAGTTTGAAGCTGACTTGAAGGGCGCAGTTCTCATGACAACTTCAAACCAATCGCGGTTGTCGTCGGAACTCAGCAGTTAGCTTGTGTGAGGTGTTGGTGCAGATGGCTGTGAGGCAGGGAAACAGTGCAGGAGACCCGGCAAGGTGAAGCCTGAGTGGGGGCGGGCTGTCTTTTGCTCCGAACGTGAAAACTTTTTTTCGGAATCCCTGGCTGAGTATCTAATGCTTTAGTAATAACTGAGTGGCTTTGGGAGCTAGATGTGGGCGGCTTTCTTCTGGAAACAAACAAGCGTGGTGGAGGTGAAAGCTTGCAAAGGTTAATAAACTGAAAGTCTGCAGGAAGCCGTCATCAGCTCCTGTCTTACATTCGCTTTAACTGCAGAATCTCTCCAGTTAAGAGCAGATTTCCATGGTTTTGAGCAACGCAGGTTGAGCAGTCTTTCTGTTCTTCCCACTGCTGACCTGTTGGCCTAGTCTTGCGGGGTGGGGGGGCCGGTGTCGGTGCATCATTTTCAGAGAAAAGAGAAATCTTGTTTTAATCAGGACCTTGCCATGAGGTTACTTGTTCTTGACCTTGTGTTTTTTATTTCACTTTAACTGCTAAATTTTTGTACTGCTTCCTCATTCTCCTCCTTTGCCAGGCCCTGGGGTAGGTACAGTTCATGGACCTTTTAAAAAGTGCCTCCGTGTTCTTTGCAGTACCATTTCTCTTCCGATGTGCAGGAGGAAAAAAAAAAAAAAATGCTTGCCTTGAAGCGTGTCCTTCTCTTGGCCAGGAAAGGCACTAAGCCTTTGCTAGTCCAAAGGGGAGGAAATCATGTGGTATAGAAATACAGACACATTTCCATAGGCTTTGTTTTTTAAAGCTATAATCTTAAAAAATAAAATAAGGTATATTTGAGGAATATTTACTTGAGAGATCAGAGTGGTCTGTATAAAATATTTTCACCTGATATCCTGATAGTTACCTCTTTCTTTCTTTCTTTCTTTTTTTTTTTTCTTTTGAGACAGGGCCTCACTACTAAAGTTCTGCAGATTGCCCTTGAACTCTGTAACCTAGGCTGGCCTCAAAATCACTCCTGCCTCAACCTTCTGAGTGCTGGGATTATAGGGAAGCACTACCATGCCTGCCTCCTGATATTTTCTTGTGTAATATACCTCGTGATGAAGTAATGAAATTGCTTCGTAATTTTTTTATATTCTCATGTGAACCAAAAAACCAAAAATTAAGTTATTCATGACTTCTGAAAATTGAAATACTTTTCTAAAATTATGAAATCCATGCTCCAAAAAAAAATCATGCTCTTTATAAAAATTCAACCGACTGGAATATATAAAATACAAAAATGAAAGTCATTTTGACTCCTATTCCCCAGAGATAATCACTGTGAGCAGTCAAGTCCTTGATTTAGAAACGAGAGAAGGCAACACTGGATCATAGCGGGGCTGCTGTGTTGCCTGCCTCTCCTGCCTAGGACAGCCTGTCAGGAGTCCTGGGCTCATGTTCCCTGTTCACTCCCGATTGGTGAGCACTGTCAGGTGGAGGGAGCAAAGGGAGGTTATGAGCTGACTTCAAATTCTTCGTTGAAGTAGTAGCCCTGAGAATTCACATCTATCAAAGCTGCTATTTCAGGTTCCACCTCATGAAGGGAATGTTGCTAGGGGAGTTCTCACACTGTTACCATTGATAGCCACTCTGATGGACTATTACATTTAGTAAGCTGTCTGACTTACTAAAACAAAGTCCCTCACTTGATAGAGCATTTCCTAATTTGCAGTTGGATGTAAGCAGATATACAGTATTTGCTGTGAAGACCACTGCCACAATATGTTGCTACTCTAGCAGGGATTCCTCCTAATCATTATCCAGAGGGTGCGTGCCAAACATTATACAGAGGACATTAGAGAAAAGGGCTTTCTAATGGGGTGAGGCAGGAGGATCATTGCTAGTTCGAGATCATCCTGGGCTACAAAGTGAGCTCAAGGCCAGCCTGAACTGAATAGCTAGAATCTATCTCAAAAAAGAGGTGGGGAGTGTTAGCAGGGACTCAGGAGTAAATGCTGGGGCCAGGGAGATGGCTCAGTAGAATAAGCACCTACCTGGTGAACACAAGGGTCTGAGTTCAATCCCCGGTTCTGGAAAAAAAAAAAAAATGCCATTCATAATTGGCATCTCAGTATCTGCTTAACGTAAATTCTAACTGCAGTAATAGTGCGGCATGTATGGTCATTTGTCTACTAACTGCAGAGGATCTTAGCACATGGAATACTCAAGAATGTGCTGTGAAGAAGTTGATGTTCAGCAAAGCACCAAAACCAAATTTAATCACAACTTGGTTGCTTGAGGCTATAGCTGTTTTTTTTACACAACTCTCTTTAAACTTTTCAAAATTTTGAAGTTAAAGAATTAAATGACCAGCCTGATTTTTATGTTAGTTGGCCAAGTGAGGCACGTATAATCCTTTCTAGAGGTCCCTGAAACAGTCCATCTCCATTTAGCATCTCTAGTGTTGGGGGTGGGGCTGGGGATTTGGCTCGGTGGTAGAATGCTTGCCTAGCAAGCTGGAAGCCCTGGGTTCAGTCCTTGGCACCAAAAACAAAACATAAACCTTCCCTAAAAAACAATTCAACCAAAAAAATACGGTAAAATCTAGTGTTGGGGGTGAGCATGCTCGTTGCAGTAGAAGTCAGCAGATGAAGGAGACGAAAGGAGCAGGTGTTCTGCCCGTCTGCAAGATGGGGCAGTATGAAGACTTCGAGATTCATGGCAAGGGAGACTCAGGGAGGCTTAGCAAGTTCCAGAGTAATAGATGCTTCAGTCAGCAGTCATGTCCAGAAAGTGTCGTCTGGTTTACAAAAACTGAAACTTAGAGCTTTGAACCAAAAGATAGTTTTGAGTCCCAGCTTCTGCTTACAAGATGAGCAATTTGGGGTAAATCAACCACTGGACATGTTTTTCTTTTTTTTTTTTTTTTCCCTCACGACAAAATGACAATAAAAATCCCTGTCAGGGTTCTGAGACCCAGTTGTATAATGTAAAAAGTTTGTATGACCGAAATAAGCAAAAAATGAAAAGCAGACTAAAACTTAGCTACTTGCACATGTATTCATTTCAGAACATCAGGTGTCAAGTAAATGTTGGCGTGTTAGGAGCTCAGAGGTGGCACTGATGACTAAGACCATGCCTTGATGTCAAGGACTCAACGCAGAGGGGCCTGGTAATGACAGCACCAGCCTTGAGTGTGGAGACAGACATAGCAGCCCACCTCAGATGCTGCCTTGGGTGTCACCCCAGAATGGCATGCGTAAGCTGGGCAGCAGAGGTGGGGCGTGAGAAGTTCTAAGCAAAGGGAATAGCGGTGTAAAAGGAAAGTTTTTGCTGTGTTTGTTCCCTTCGGGTAAAGGAAATACAGAATAGGTTTAAGTTTAGAATGTTTTCTTTTTTTATGGTACTACCTTGGTTTGGTTTCATTTAATTGTAATTAGATAAGGATGTGATTTTTCAGGATTTTGGTTAGAATTTGCAAAAATACTAGAGCCACCGTGCCAGGGAGATAGCTCAGTGGCTTAAGTGCCTGCCTGGAAAATTCAGGGTCCTGGGTTTGATCCCCAGTACAGCTAAATAAATACATAGATAGGTAGATAGATAGAATAAAAAATTAGAAACAATACAATTTTTAAAAAAATATTTTAAGATCTGAAAGAAGGAAACTGGAAAAGTCCTCCCATTATGGTAGGGTTTTTTTTTGTTTTTGCAGAGCCAGGGATTGAACTCGGTCCCTTGCGCTTGCCAGGCAAGCGCTTATTCTACTGAGCCATCTCCCAGCCCCCCATTATGGTAGAATAAGCCAAAACCTTTGCATCCAAGCTGCTCGGGAGTTAAGGAGTTCCACATAGTTACATTGTAGCCATCTACTATTTATGTGACAGACACTGCCTCACAGTAATAGCTAGAAAAAATGCTGTCCCTTAGGTGACAGTATTAGAGGCATAAATTTTATTTAAGCAACCCACTGAAGGGCATATATTCATTCATCTAGGTGACAGAGTTCAAGC